TTAGAAGGTTTTTGTGGTAAGATCTGTAGAACTATGATCTAGCAGAAAAAGTACAGAATTGATAGTAAGTCAATATATTATTGGCATTTCCATGGATGTATGTCACCAATTAATGAGAGATAATAACAGATGTGAAAAGGCAAATAAATAGATCTACAGGAAAAGAAGAACTACTCCCTGAACAAAAATATTTTTATGTTAAATCAGATTCATTTTATCCTTATCATTTTCTGTTACCTTCCTGATTTTCCAACCTGAGACCCGAGGTTGCTGTTCTCATATTGATTTCTACCAGACATCCCAATGTAGTATCAGAAGAAGAGATAATCCAAATACAGAAGAGAAATGTTCGATGATTTTTAAACAAAAAAAAAAAAAGCTAATTTGTCACTTCACTCATCAAGTATGAACTAAATAGACTTCTACCTCTTAAAATACTTTTTTCACCCTCTTTTTATTGCCTGGAATCTTAAGAGCTTTATCATTTGCAGTCATAAAATGAAAATATACACCAAACCCTCAAAGGGCAAGTATGAAATTAAATTATATTTGGGCAGCTGTAACCTTTTAAAACGCTCAGATTCCAGTTAATGTATTTCTTCCTGTTCCAAAGGCTGCCATGGTGTTTGATGGTGGGAAATGAGCCAAAGGGCATTGGGAGATAATAAATTCACTGTAAATCTCACCCCAAGGCAGGCCTCCGTACACCGAGGCCTCCATTTAGCAAGGCTGACCTAAAACTCTTGTCACATCCAAAGGTCACATAGGTTGGGGTTGGTGTAACCCATCTATCTTGCCAGGATGGAAGGAGTGACAGTTGAAACAGGACCGAGCTCATAAACAGTCATCTGACCATGAAAAAAAGAAGCCAGCCTTGACGGCGGATGGAAACGTGAAGGGAGACCTCCCTACCCTTTGCCAGGGCTGGAGAAGAACGGGGTGCTGTCTGCCCCAGCCCGTGGAGAGCAATAAGATGGCCTGATCTCCTAGCTTCTCTCCCAGAAGTTATCACTGGGTTTGGTTGAGTTCACACCAGGTACTCTGCCTCTTGCATTTAGTTTCAAATAATATTTCTTTTCACCCTGCACATCTAAAATGAGGGCAAGGGGGCACTGGGCAGGTGGCTCAGTGGTAGAGTGCTCGCCTAGCATGCATGAAGCCCCGGGTTCCATGCCTCAGTACCACAGACACAGAAAAAGACAGAAGTGGCGCTGTGGCTTAGGTAGGAGAGCCTTGAGCCAAAGAAGCTCAGGGACAGCGCCCACACCCCGAGTTCAAGCCCCAGGACTGGCAAAATAAATGACTAAATTAAATAAAATAAGAGGGCAGAATAGGAAGAGAATTGCTTAAAGAGATAACACTGATGCGGCTGTGGAAAACAAGGATTTATTTAAGTCCTCTGAGCCATAAGCTTTTGCGTTGTACTGAAATGTGCATCACATGAAGTCCGCGTGCTAGTGATTTTTTTTAAGTGTACAATTGAGTATGATCAAGGCCATTTACAGTGTCAGGGCCTGGACCATTGTTAATCTGAGGCATGGTTCCATCGCTGCAAACAGAGCCTCTGTGCCTGTCTTACCATCATTTCCTGCGTCCCCATTCCGCCCTCCACTCACGGCCTGCCGTTCTGAATCTGCCAATTAAAAGTATCCCACGCTGTAAGTCAAATCAGACATGATCAATCCTTGTGTCCCTGGTTTATAACATTCGGTGTGACATGTTCAAATGTCTCTCACATGCCAGCATTGTCTCTCAATCAGCCATTCCTAGTAATGACTTCAGTTCTTTCAAAACACCAATTCTTGGACAAAAATATGTCAATCCCTAGTCACAAATAGCTGTACATAATATCTAGTCACAATTTTTTTTAAAAAAAAATGGTTAGGCTAGACTAGAAAGACTTAAGATAGATTAAACTCTTGCAATCAAATTCGTGGAGAAAAGTAAAAGTACTATCTAGGAAGACAGAGGTAGATTTTTCTTGTGATGATCATCTATGTCTTGAATAGTATCTGGAACAAGGTAGGAACTCATTACATGCTTTCAGAGGGAAAGAACTGATTTAAAGCACTAGAACAAAAGTTAAGTTGCTTGTTTTCTCTGATTACTTTGGAATATGTTAGACAATTGAAGAGACCCTATCCAAGTCAGAGCAGCTAATAGTACATGCAAATGGCTTGAACTCTGGGCCTGGGTACTGTCTCTGAGCTAGCCGACTCTGTACCAGTTGAGCCACAGCTCTACTTCTAGCTTTTCGGTACTTTAGAGTCTTACAAATTTTCCTGCCCAGGCTGTCTTCAAACCATGATCCTCACATCTCAGCCTCTTGAGTTGCTAGAATTACAGGTGAGAAATAACCAGTGCGCCCTGCTTTTGGTTTTATTTTAATTGATTTAATAGGTTTTTTTTATTGTGAGTAGTACAAATGGCTCATTTTGACTAGACTTACTTTTTCAAATGTTCTAGAGATTATTCTCAAGGCTGACGGCCTCAAATTGAAGTAAGGAATAAAGTTGGATATGATTAAATTCTTAGTACAAATTATACATGGAAGAGCAAATATTTAAATGAGACTCCCAAGGTGGAAAACTGTGTATCCAAGTTTTATTCTGTAATTGATTTGAGTCAATTGAAGTCATGTAAGGAGTGACGAGTAAAACGTTATTCCAGTTAAAAATGAGTTCGAGGTGCATTACCACAGTTCCCTCTATTACATTGATGCTAATGGTAGAGTTTATAGAGCCAGATACTTTAACTTGTAGGGACTGCAGAACTACAAACCTAATAACATTTTTTTCTTTTTCATCAACTGCAATAGTGTTGTGTCCACCTTTGCATATCATTCTCCGGCCCTTGATCTCAGGAGACTGTGTTCTGCTGTAATATTGGATTTAATACATTTGCAATTTTGCACTTCATTTTATGACATTTTTTTCCTCCATGAATTTCTCCTTCTATAGACGAGTCCAAGTCTTTGGGGGACAAAACAGCTGGCACTTAATAAGTCATTTGAATGACTATAAATGTAAATGGCAAAGACAGTAATAGACTACTATTCTTTCAAATTCTTCTTTTGTGGGGGGTCGGTTCTAGGGCTTGAACTCAAGGCTTGAGCCACTGTCCTTTAGCTTTGTGCTCTCAAGGCTAGCACTCTACCACTTGAACCACCAGCTCCACTTCTGACGTTTAGCTGGTTAACTGGAGATAAGAGTCTCCCTGACTTTCTTGCCCAGGCTGACCCTGAACTGTGATTCTCAGCTGTCAGCCTTCAGGATGGCTAGGATGACAGGTGCGAGCTACCATTGCCTAGCTTATCCTAAAATTCTTGAGAGGAGAAACGAATTGCGCGGAGAACTCTTGGCAGCGGCCAAGAGGAACACAGGTTTTTCCTTGGACGCTTCTCACTCTTGACCGCTCTGAGTCCATAATACTATTTACCAGAAGGCCCCAGGGCCCGTCAGGAATCCTACACGACTTGCACACATCAGGATTGCCTGTCTTGTCTATCTGAGAACACAACAGATTCCCATGATATCAAAGTAACCAGAGACAAAGCTTCACAAAGTGCAGTGGTTGACAGGTACGAGTTCTGTAGACGGTGGAAAGAGGCGGCCTCCATTCCCAGCTCTGCTCCCCTCCACACAACTTTGGCCCTCAGTGGTCTCCACAGAACGTTACGGCATAGGATGTATGGATATGTGGCCCACAGTACAAGTCCTACGAGCTTAATGTGATTTTGATTAGTCCGGTTGTTACCCAGGCTGGCTGTCATTCTGTGACAGTGTTTTATTTTTATATCTGCATTCATTATCTCATCTACACTAATATTACGATTTCATCTTCAAGATGTACAGTGTGGGAGAAGGGATGGGAAAAGGCAAAGGTAAACCACAAAAGGGAGGCTTCTTTTTCCTTTTTTTTTTTGTCGGTTGGGGGGTTTGAACTCAGGGCCTGGGCGCTGTCTCTCAGCTCTTCAGCTCAAAGCAAGCGCTCTACCACTCGAGCCACAGCGCCACACCTGGTTTTCTGGTGGTTTATTGGAGATCGGAGTCTCAGGGACTTTCCTGCCAGAGCTGTTTTTGAATCTTGATCCTCAGGTCTCAGCCTCCTGAGTAGCTAGAATTATAGGCGTGACCCACCTGTGCCCAGCAGAAGGCTTCTTTTTGTCTTTTAATCTCCAATAAGTCCTCTATTTTGCTAATAGGGAAGTAGCAGGTGTTGGTTCTGTTGGTCCATGCTGATAAGCCTAGCTACTCAGGAGGCTGAGATCTGTGGGCTACAGTTTGTAGCCAGCTTAGGTTAGAAAGTCTGTTGCCAATCTTATCTCCAATAAACGCCTAAAAAAAGCTGGAAGTGGAGCTGTGGCTTAAGTGGTAGGGATCTAGAGTTGAGCAAAAGGTGCTCAAGAGACAGCACCCAGGCCCTGAGATCAAGCTCCAGGACCAGTGTGAGCACGCACACACACACACACACACACACACACACACACACATACACACTCCCCAGAAATTAAAGAGGAAGTAGAATTCTATTGCCAGGGATTCAAAAAATCTCCGCCCTTGACAGCCTTCAACTTCTAGTCTTTGAATCTATCACTGTTCACTCCAGATCTGGGGGAAACCCCCCCTCTTTCCCCTAGCCTTCAGATGGAAGAAATCCACCTTGATTCCACTTCCACAGAAGGGGAGATAAATGCAGTACCTGAGTTGATATTTGGAAAGCAAATTTCCCACAGGAGCATTATTATTACCCACAGCGCAGAGCCTGAGAATTACGCAAGTAATCCTCACATACTCATCATTCAGCATTTGACAAGTTTTTGAAACTTGCATGTGCGCCTGTACACACACACACATGTGTGCACACGTGCACACACGCACTCGACCCACACAATTGTCATGGGACTCCACTGACATAACATTCAAAGTCCCAGCAAAGCAATCGGCACACTAGAAACACAGCCGTCACAGGACATGATTTCTTTACCATTTATACACCAGTATCCAAGCTTCCAGCCCGGATCTGCTCTGAAACCAAGAATGATCTTCTCACAGACAAAGTAAGATACGGTCTGGTTTAACGTGAACTGACAGTCAACTTCTTTTTACATTAGAGTTAGAATACTTTTACAGATTGCTATTACCTCCAATTTCTGCCCATGGTCTTTAATAATGAACAATGATTTCACAATCATGAACTTAGAAAAATGTTTGCTACTAAATACACACACACACACACACACACATTCTCTTGAGAGCCAAGTGCTGTGGCTCACACCTGTAACCCTAACTGCTCAGAAGGCTGAGATCTGAGAATCATGGTTGAGTAGGCTGGGTAGGAAAGTTCAGAAGAGTCTTACCTCTCATCCAGTTAGTCGATCACGAAATAGCTGGAAGTGGAGCTGTGGCTCCAGTGGTAGAGTGCTGGCCTTGAGCAAAAAAGGCTCAGAGATAGTGCCCAAGATCCTGAGTTCAAGCCCCAGTACCAGTGCACACACGCGCACAAACATACACACACATACACACTTAATAAAACCCAGAGTTTTTATATTAAATATGAAATATTTGGTAAGAAAATATTTTGTCTCCTAGGGGGGAAAAGCATTTCTTTTCCTATTGTTGGCTTGAAAGGAATTTCAGTTGCTATTTTTCTCCCTAAATTAAACTAATTAAAGACATCAGTACAGTTACTTGGGGTATAAAGAGATTCAAGCTTTCCGGCCAGTCTCCAACCACTACCCCCCCCCTTACCTTGCCAAATGGAGATATATTTACAGGTTGACGACCTCAGCAATAGAAGGAGAGGATTCATTCTCCCTCCATAATGAACAACAAGCCTGGAACAGTCTTAAAGGGGTCAATTGAGTAGGTCATGCATCATATGGGAAGGCAGATGTTCTAGCATATTGTAATGGATTACTGCACACTGCACAGAGACTGCGTGTGGCGTAGAAAGTCGGGGAGGGAGGGCGGGGGGAGGAGAGAGATAAACTATCAGTTGGCATTTTTCTGTGTGACTCCTGCAAAAAAAGAATCTATCTGGTTCTTTAAGGAACTGTTTCCATGATAAAAAGTCACAATGTTTTCTCTCTTTTTTTTTGTAAATCTTTCATGATGTATTAGAACATAATCAAATGAAGAAAGCCTTTTTTAAAAAGCCAACGGCATTTGATTTTTGTTCTTATTTATCCACTTGAGAATCTGCTATGTGACAAAACCCAGCATGCGAGCATTTCCACCTTGGGGGGGGCGGTGGGACGGTCCTCTAATTTGAGCAAGTTCAAAGGCACCTTTCATTTTTAGCAGATGCCCAGGTTTTGTACTTGCACCAACCCAGACTTCATAGATGGTCTAATATCCCCACAACGCACACAACAAACGTGAATGAAACAATAGAGATAATAACATAATACAGATGATCTAGGTACTACTATTTGCAGCTAGCAATTTTATAGAGATGCCACTTTAGTTTCTATATAAATATATTCTATATATATATATATATATATATATATAT